AATTCATCAAAGGTATAATTCTAATGATAGTTTCTATCTAAACACATTGCAGATCCTCGTTTGGGAATTGAAAATTGTTTTATTTTCGCTGTGCATGATTAAGTAAATTCCCAACAAGTCTTGTCTCCACGCTAGTGTTCGTGATTTGCGGACACCATGCCTCTCCGGACACTGTGTCTCCACAATGTGCACAGAATTTATTTTTTCCAGTGCATATGTGCAATCACTCGTGTTGGAAAAATAGATACTGTGTCTCTACAAGTTGTGGCTCCGGGCCATTTTTTTCCAGCGCGGCATGTTGTAGTAGCAATATTATAGTCATATGGCTTGTCTCACCTGGTAACCCATTATCAAAATGTTGATAGTTATTAAAATTAAATGCTAAAAATCTATTAGTTGAAATTGGTAAAGTCTTGATTTATTCTTTTTGTATTTTGGATGCTACATTTTGGTTTCTACTTTAAAGAGTGTTGAATTTGAAAGAGTAAACGTTTTATTAACGATTATTGGTGTTGGTGTTGTGGAGCTGGAAAGATATTGTTTCGCATGTTTACTCGCTAACAATTAAAAAGGGATCAGACGATTGTGTAAGGGGCAAATCTCTTGAAACAAAGTCCCAAAAAGGGGTGTTTATTGAATATGAAAATTACAGTTTGGACACGAACAAGATGTCTCCAAGTGGCGCAAGCACACAAGTACAAGGGAATTGAAGTAATTAAAGTTAACCTAAGAAAAAAGTAAATTACATATTCTCTATTTGAGAGTGAATTTTGTCGGGGCTATCTTCGTTGTCTTCTTCTTTCTTTTATACGGCTTGGGCAGTTTTTAATCGTTTAGAAACTGTTTGTAACTACCCATTTCTTTCATAATGGCCGTTGGGTAATAACTACCGTGTGTAATTCCTATCACCACATCTTCTTCATAACTGCTTGTCACCAACTTTCTCAAATCGTGGGGCGTAATTGTGATATGCTTAAACCGCCTTAAATCGTGACTTTGGATAACAACAAGCTTTAGTCATCGCTGAGACTCTGGGCGACTCAGCATTTTTGGGCGACAATTGGTCTTCCGCTCTGGGCGATTATAGGATACTTCATTTGCTCAATATCTGGACGTTCTGCAGGCTTGGGCGACGACGTACCTTTGTTTTTGGGCTTTCATCATATTTAATGACATTCTTGATTGAGCTTTTACCCTGATCTCTCTAAATGGGCTTTTTCTCTTGGACCATTTCCTTTCTTGGGCCATTTGAATTGGGCTGTACATTTTGTGTGTCAACAGATATCATTGCAGAATTAAATAGATTTTCCTCTGAATAGCATCCTCTAGAATAGCATGGTTGATCGTAGAGCATTGATAGTTCAACTATCTCATTTGCGTCCATCGAAGATGGTTTTGGTGGGATTCATGGAAATGGTGGTAGTTGAGATGGTAGAGGCGATGGTACAAGTGAGGGTGGAGAGTCAAAGCCGCGTCCCGTGGTGGCAGATGGGGAGACTTGTGCTTTGAGCTCTAACATTATCATTTGATGTTGGAGTAAAACATATGAAACTATATATATATATTTTTTCTATTTGCCTACATTTTCTGTTGATTACTTTTCTTTTTCTCTTTTCTCCACTTTTGCTTCAGGAAACACGAAATTGATGATGAAGTCATTGGAGACTGCAGTGCCAATAAATATGGAGCTATGTCATGCTTGTGTTGGGACTTTGATTTCGTTTCCTAAAAGGGGACGACCGTGGTGTACTTTCCTCAAGGCCACTTGGAATACCTCTCCAAGCACCCGGATGTAGCCTGTGATTTTCTTCCCCATGTCTTCTGTAGCGTTGTCAATGTTAAAACAACATTATTATGCAATGTTATCATTGTACAATAAACAACAAATATTTATCATATTAATTTATGTAAGGAAAACTTTCGATATATATTTGCAAAGAATTTGACTTTTGTCTAAAACGCTAATATCACCTTCAAAGTACCACAACCCGTGCATTGCACTTGTTAAGACTAGTATTTATAAAAGAATCAATTACATGTTTAAATCACTCAAGGATGGGAATGTCACGTGATGGTGAGGTAAGATATTTGTCCCGTGTTGAGGATGGGAACATGGTCCAAATCGGCTGTCCCAATTGGTATTGGTATTATTAAATTAATATATTTAGGTTATAAAATCAAAATTATATTTTAACCAACGAATTTTTATTAAAAACGTTCTAATAAGCTAAAAAAGTCAGAAAAAAATAATAATTAGAAAATCATGTATCCACTTCACTGTACATTCAATGGAAAGTCCATTTTTTAAAGGGGTAATTGCAGCTAAGGTCCCAAACTTTTCAGATTTTTGCGCACTTTACTCTAACCTTTGATTTGTGCCAGCGGAGGTCCCAAACCTTTAACAAATATGCGGCGGAAGTCCAAATGGATGGGTTTCCATCCATTTGACCGTTAGTCAATCCAAAAAGTCAAAATTGGTTCAATTTTGACAAAATTAGGAAGGGCAAAATAAAATTTTTACTTATTTTAACACATTACATAAATAAACAAAAAAATAGAAAAAAAAAATCTCTATTCCTCTCCAATGGCAGTCGGCACCACCACAACCTCTGTGCCGGCACTACCACCACCACCGCCTCCGCCTCTGTGTCGGCAATAGCTTTTACCCTCCACGCCAGAAAGCCTTCAGCCTCCACGCCGCCCAAAACCACGTCCCAAATCCACCATTCCCCGTGTTGAAAAAGGAGGAATAAACCCACTCCACTCCCACCGCCTGAACCAGATGCCCCAGTGGAGAAAAAGGAAGAAGAAACCCACTCCACTGGTGGCGGCGGAGCCACCAGAATCAGGTGCAAATGTCCCAGATTGACGGGTGCAGCCCTGTCATCTCCCAAATGCGGCCATGGTTTCAGGAGCGATCCTGAAAAAACTGGGTGTTTGGGTTGTGTGAGATCCTGAAAAAACTGGGTGTTTGGGTTGAACAAAAAATTGGGTTTACAGTAGGGGTGAAAAATGCGGCCATGATTTCTTAATTTTTTCCAATTCCTTTACTTGGAATCCCAGAAAGCAGAAGCAGAAGAACAACCAGAAAATGCTTCCCTCTCTTTCACACACAGACCAACAACGTTCGTTTGGCTATTAAGAGCGCTCGGGTTTTATCACTTACTAAAAATGGGGGTCAAACAGGGGCTTTTCATAAGATTATTGTTGTTTTTTACCATCTATTCTATTAATTTCCCTTTAGAGTTGCAGCAGTGTGTTCAATCAATAGGCCGAGGAGGAGAGTTGTCGTTGGCGCGCAGAGGTAGCTGTGGTTCTGATGGACTATGATGGAGATGGATTGCTTTGTTTTGAGGATTTTGGTTAATTTGGGTTTAGGTTTTGATTGTATTGTGGTGGTGGCATTTTGAGGGTGGAGAGAGTAGGGTGGTGCCTGCCGGTGGCAGTATTGGCCGAGTTTGGGCTGGAGGTGCTGACGGTCGGAGCCTGAGGAAGAAGGGTTATAATTTCTTTTTATTTTTTGGTTTTTAATTAATATTTTAACCTATTTAAAATGATGAAAATTGAAAGTACCATTTTGCCATTTTCAATTTGGTAAAAATTGAATTAATTTTGACCTTTTGGGTTGACTAACAGTCAAATGGAAACCATCCATTTGGACCTCCGTCGCATATTTATTAAAGGTTTGGGAAATCCGTTGGCACAAATCAAAGGTTAGGGTAAAGTGCGCAAAAATTTGAAAGGTTTGGGACCCCTGCTGCAATTATCCCATTTTTAAATAATAATGGTAAGTTGATCAGTTACTATCGTTTACATGCTACTTATCTCATCAGTATTTTATTAGATATGCTTTATCATTTTAGGGTTTCTTATTTTATGTGATACTCTCTATTAGAAGTTCCACCACGCTATTTTAGGCTTCAAAAATAAATTGTATAATGTAAATTGTAAACACATTTTGGAGCTCCTCAAGTAATCAACAATGGATCTCCCGTGATATGTTGAAAAAATACGCCGATATTTATATTGATGGAGACTTTACTACAAATTTTCAAGGAGTCATGCTGCAACCGAGCAATGTTCGGAATCTTGATAGATCAAATCGTTTATAACTATATCAACTATCCATATGTATTCACACTCCCTACTTGGCTTGCATGGATTCCTGTTTTCATATGTTTTTGTCATGTACCATTTATGGTAAAACAAATAACGAAAGTCGATTTCGTCGATTTTTGTAACTATCAGAAACAATAAAAATGTATAAGTAACTTTTATAGATATTCAATGATGATCAAGTGCATTGAGTTTTGTCAGCATAGAAATTAACATAACATAACACGACGATTAAAAATTCGTATAGTTGAAGCAAATCAATAAGGGCAAATTAGGCCCATCATACTCAAATTTTTATTAACTTGAGTATTGCTTTATTAAATAATTAAACCATTTGAGAACTTAAATTATGCATTCTAAAACCACCAACCATAAACCCCGTTGTCCATGATTCCACCCTTAGAGAGAGACGCTCCTCACCCACAACTCTGCTTTTCCTCACTGTCGTCCTCACTGATTCTGCTTCAAGAAATCATCGCCCACAACTTCTAATTCTTGCTGCTTCAACCACCTAATCTGGTGCACTTGTTCTATAATTCAATTAAGGGATTTTGTCATGATTTAGTGATGAGAACCACGTAACAACGAACAATACGCAACCCACAACTAGATTGAGGATCCCAATAAAGCCCAAAAGATAATCCCGATTTTGAGTTTGAACCAAGAATTAAATGAATCAAGTAACCAATCAAAAATAATGTTTGAAAAGCCTCTTGATTACACAATATGTTGATCCACACCCGGTGTTGAACGTCACAAGAATTAACTTGATAAGTTCGGTGAACGCCACAAGATTGTTAGATCTTGATGAGTTCAGTAAATTGTTCCATCAAGAAACAAGAGAGAAAGCAAAAGTTTTTTTTATTAATTCATAATCAAAGTTAATATTTACAATAATTGAAATTGCTATTTATACTAATACTGGAAAACTTAGGAAAACCAGAAATAATATGAAAAGTCACAAAATATCATTAAAAGTAGAATTCTACCAAAACTAGGACACTTGCCAAAATTGAAACTTCTTGCTAGATTATTCTCGACATGTTTCTGTGTTAACCTTGTGCATAATTTCATGATGATTTCGAATTGTGCTCATGGGTGAAAATCCGATACCCGAGCTGAAAGTTATGCCCATTTTAATCCACGTTACTCGTTTTCTTTCCAAATATCTTTTAAATCTTGAATCCAACTCGTTTCGGCTCCCGAACCCTTCACAAAACTTGAATTTTGGCTTGTCAACTTCTTCAATTTGGACTCCATAGCTCGATCAAGTGATTGCATATCCTGAATCATACCGTCTATTCTCTCTTCGAAAGGATTCGCCCTCGAATTCGTACATTGTGATCGCGAAGGGGATAACCAGCCTACTACCCATCTCATCATTGCACCACCTGGATCAACTGAAAAATTTGTCCTCCCATGACATAGGATCAATACATGGTATCCATCCATTTCACAGGTATGGATGTAATGCAGCACAAATTCATTCAACCATAGATGCTGTTGCATGAATTCTCAAGCACAATGATCAACCTAAAAGAAATAATTAAGCAAAACATGGTTGAATTTGTTAGCTTCCCCATCAATGAGATATGGGTCCTCGTACTCATAATGCATCATCCCTACCATATCATGCTTAACAATGAAACTCTGCTCTTCATTCCCCACAATATTTTCAACAATTTACTCAACATACTCTTCCATTATTTGTCCACTCTCTTGATGAATCATCTCTACAATTTTTATATCAGTATGCCCGTGCTCCGACTCTTTAATTTTTTCACTCTCCCCAATATCAACTGCTCCATTAGCTCAACACATTCTGCCATTTATTGCTCACTCTCATGCTGAACTATCTCCACAATTTTTGTATCAGTCTGCTCGTGCTCTGGCTCATTAATAGGTTCACTCTCCCCAATATCAACTGCATTTTTCATTTCACCATCCTCCAACTCAACTCCTCTCTCATTTCCATGCAAGCTTTCTTCTGACTCTTCTTTTCTCTCCAAAGACTTCTCCCTTTTTGCATCACACTCAGCCACCTCACTATTTTCACTTTTTTTTTTCTCTCATTTGCTCCTTGGTATGATCATTTTGAGACTTAATCCTGTCGTGAATTTTCGAAAATTCTAGTTTATAATCCAAACTAGTCGGTTTATTGAGAATATTACGAACATGCTTCTCAATAGGTACTTTACCCCCATTGACTCCTCAACTCCATCACGGTTTCTAGGATCCTCTCGAAACTCTCTTTCACGTCTATCACTCCTATACCCAAAATAATGACTAGGTGCATATCGTTTCCTCATAATAGCTCTCAACTCATCCCAAAATCCCATAGGTCTCTCATAATTCCTCCGCCTAGAAGTTGTCAATTGATCCCATCAAATTATAGCATAATCTACAAATTGAGTTACAACTAACTTTACCTTTCTCTCCTCATAGTTAGGGGTGGGCGTGGGTTGGGTTGGGTCGATTGTTTTCCCAACCCAAACCCAACCTTACATTGTTGGTTTGTTCGAAATCCAACCCAACCCAACTATGTGTCGGTCGAGTTGGGTTGTGTTGGTCGGTTTGTATTGATAAAGTTCATTTTAACTAAATACACATTATAAATATACCTAAAAACTTTTTAACTCATGTGACCAAAGAAGCACCAAGTGAATACATGTTTTGTGGGATCACATGAACAAATGGGCATTATCTATTTGGCAAATTTCTGCAGTAAATATCTCAACACTAGATTTCAACACCCTTAACAAAACAATCCACCGAGACGTGGAAAATGTTAATGACTTTTCATTACTACAGATTTCCGAATCATACTATGGTAAATTAGATCAACTATCTTAGAACAACCCCAAAGAGAAAAATAGTAGACCAAACATATAGCATCAAATCGCCAAATATCGAGTTCAGCCTTTTCATGCTGGAGGTATTTTGTTAAGTCCTTTATTTTATGCCGATGACTTACTTATTTTCACCAATGGAAGGAAAAAAAAAAATCAATTACCAAGTTGCTGGAGATATCAAAAATTTATGAACTGATGTCGGGTCAATCAGTGAGCCCTATGAAGTCGTCTATGTTTTTTTTCCAAACACATCTCATTCTCCCATAAAAGGACTCTATTGGCTGCCTCGGGTTTTAAAGAAGGTGTTCTTCCCTGTACCTACTTGGGCATCCCACTTTTCATTGGAAGACTAGTGAAGAATTTCTTTGAGCCATTGTTGGAAAAAGTTCAGAAAAAACTGGCTGGATGGAAGGGCCGATTACTATCTTTTGGGGGTAAAATCACATTGATCAAACATGTTCTTTGCAGTATGTCAATTCATATCCTTTCGGTGCTGAATCTGCTTAAGGGAATTCATAATGAACTGAACCCTATTTTCTCTTCATTTCTCTGGAATGCGACTGATAGATCTAAAAACAAAAATGGGTTTCTTGGAGGAAAATTTGTTTCCCAATGGAGGAAGGTGGTTTAGGCATTCAGGATTTTGGAGAAGTACAACGAGCATTATTTATGAGATTTGCGTGGAAATTGATGGTGGGGAATTCATTTTGGGCAGAATTTTTCTGGGATAAATATGTGAAAAAGAAACATGTTGTGTTGCAAAATTCATTTTGCCGAGTGCAGGATGGAACTTCTAACTTCTGGTATGACAACTGGAATGGAACTCAAAGCTTGGCAGAGGCAGGATGGGAAGTTAATGAACCACAATTACTGATTAAAGATCTCTTGATGGCAAATGGTAGTTGGAACGGTAGCCGACTTAGGGAGGTGTAAGATGAAAGGCAGGCTATGGCTATTGAAAGCTTGCCCATCAAATTTACTGGACAGCGGGATCACTTTGTCTGGAAGCCCAGTAAGGATGTTACCTTTTCCACTAAATCAGCTTGGGAATTGATTAGGAAGAAGGGTGTCACCTGTATATGGAAAAGGTAGCTGTGGCACCATCATGCTCCCCTACGAATATCCTTTGTTTCGTGGAGAGCCCTTCAAAATATTTTACCAGTTGATCAGGCGGTTAAAAACATTGGAATCCCTTTGGTCTCAAAATGTGAATGATGTGCTAGGCCATTGATTGAAACCACTGACCATGTGCTATGCAACGGAGAAATCGCAAAAAAAGTCTGGTCTTATTTTGCATCCCATTTCAGTTTATCCCTTCCCGTTGTTACTACTTGGAAATGTATGATGAATTTATGGTGGAAAAATGCTTCTAGTGCTTCACAGATTGGAATTCTTCGCAGCATCACTCCACTTATTATCACTTGGGAATTTTGGAAAACTAGATGTGAAGCTCGAATGGAGGGATGCCCCATCTCATGGCAAAAAACTGTTTGGCATACCAAAACCATTCTTTCCCAGACTGTTGGCCTGATCACCAAGGGCAGTCGAATCTCAGGCCGTGATGTTTGCTTCTTGCGCTCCTTAAATTGTCCAATAAATTATGCTAAGCAGAAAAGGCGACACTGATTAGCTGGAAGAAACCGATGGGTGATCAGCTGAAATTAAATGTTGATGGCGCAGCCAAGGGAAACCCTGGTGCGGCTGGTGGTGGATTAGTTTACGGGACAGTATTGGCAGGTTTTGGGCTGGTTTTTCTCGGCATTATGGGTTCTGTAGTAATATGGTGGCTGAAACACGAGCTCTTCTTGACGATCTACGAATGTGCAGAACGCTGGGAGTCAGGGATATTATAGTGGAGAGTGATTCCAACATTGTGGCATATTGGATTCAAAAAGGATCTTGTTCGTTATGGTGGCTTTGGGAATATTGAGATGATATCTTGGAGTTGATCAGATTTCTGACTGCACAAGTCCAGCACATGTTCAGAGAGGCAAACATGGCAGCTGACTTTCTTGCTAAAAATGGCAGCAACGGGTCTTCACTTAATCTGTCCTTTGGCGACAAGGTTCCGACTCTTCTTCGAGGCATCTTGCATACGGATAGGTTGGAAGTACCATATCTTAGAAGCTAATTTGTTTCGTCTTTTAATGGGTTTTATTGTATTATCGGCTTTTGTAATCTCAGCTTCCCTCTGCCACAAGTGAGGCCTCTTTTTATTAATAAAATCTTTTTTTTCTATTTAAAAAAAAAGGGAATCAACCACAGATAACCTAGAGGATGCCTAGCAAACTTGAAAAAAGATTAAAAAATACAATACTATAACCGTATCTGACTATGTTCAGATATGAACCCAACAACAAAACATAGAAAAATCCAACAAAAAGCACAGACCAAAACCTCAAGGATATTTAGAAACACTGGTGTAAACAGAAAAAAATTGAAGGAAAACAAGGGAAACAAAAAAGAAGGTCAAAGTCCCAAACTTTCACAATCTGTAAGAGATGCAGACCTCTGAAGTGAACCATGAACCCCCGTAG